ATATTACTCAAGTGAATAAAAATAGTATAAATAAGGTGCGTAGTGAATGTGAGCAACTCTTTGGTGTCACAAATATGCCTTTGGTGTCTTCAAAATATAAAAAGTTGTGAGATGTTGTTTTGTAAGCTTTTGTCCGTTCACCCCTCTCCACAAAAACCAGCTCCTCAGCTTTACACAAAAGAAGGCAGCCTCAGATTTCAGCTTTCAAAAAAAGAGCATTATTTCAGTCACTTACTCTAATTCACACCTTAGTGTGATTAAAACAACTGTTGTGAACCAGACAAAACCCCTAAAGTCTGTTTTTGTTTAGTTCTTCAGTACTCCYGCTGAGACCCCATTGTGGCCCTCGGTCAGAATTACTTCTCACATCACTCCAGCCTTGTGGGATTGGTCAGAGCTTCATGTGTGTGACTGTTTATGAGTTAATCTCTGAGTAGATCTCATGGTAGCCTGATAAGCAGGTTTGAGCTCGTGGTTGCATCCAGAAGAGCATCCGCCGTAAAACAATCTAAAGTTATCAAGCAAAAATACACTGGAGCAGTTGACTGACCACATCAACTTTACTGAACACATCTGAGCATAAAAACACATCCAACATCTCAAACAGGCCTTCTGTAAACATCACTGTTGTTGACTTATTTTTAGTCACTTCCACTGTGGCAGCTGTTCACAAACTTTTCTTAAAATGATCAAACTGAAGGAGCAAAGAGAGATTGTTTTTAATTTTTTTATTTTAGATTCTGCAGTGAGTCGCTTTAAAACTTTAAGCAGGAAGTAAAATTATGTAAAAGCCTAAAACTTTAAATCCGATATTTAAACCAGCTGAATTGGGCTTTTGTGCTTTGTTAACCCAGCTTTGACCCATGCTTCTGCTGGAGAGAAAGAAAATCTTGACCTGATTTCCATTTGTTCTGGAGGTAGTCCAAACCACAAATGTGTGAAACTGTGAACCCCCACCCCGAGGGCCGTATAGTCCTAAATCTGCTTTGGGATTTGATCCGCCACACTGTATGTTTTAACTCGAAACCCTAAACCCCCCACACACTTTCAGAGAAACACACAGAGTGCTGACTGTCAAAGTCAGGAATGAGAAGACTCGCTGAAACAATCAGGAGTCAAAGGTGACATCTGTAATGTGTGTGTGTGTGTGTGTGTGTGTGTGTGTGTGTGTGTGTGTGTGTGTGTGT